TATACATTGGCTGTCTCCAACCGGCATGATCCTTTCTGTCTGTTTCCTCTTGCCGGTGCAAGTTTAATTCTTCTTTTCTTGTTCGTTTCTGGTTTCTGGTCGTGTTCCCATTTGTCCTCAGGCAGTTAATATTAGTACATGATAGGAAGAAAGAAAGAAATAGAACAAGTTAAGTGTGAGCCGCATGCATTGGTTACTTATTTGGGTCATGGTGTTGTCTTCCCTATTTATTTGCCCTAGTCGCTCTCATATCGAACGTTTAACGCTGGATCAACAATAGAAAAGGGCCCATCAGCATTCGTAAACAAACCGCTCCAAAGCCCCCCACTCACAAAGCGAAGGCCACCCACGCAAACCAACACCATCATCGGATAGGGAAAACTTCCACCTACACGAAGACGGTGTTGGCCCGCGCGAGCAGCCCCCGATCTGTGAGGAATGGGCTCTGGACGGTCTGCCCACAAAAACCGATGGGCCCCCTTCCATTGTTGATCCAGAACTCACCCCCTTCCCTCACACTATTATGGTAGGAAAAGAGAACCCATATTTAGGAATCTATCGCGAACTGCGATGCAGAAGATATTAATAGCAAACTAATCTGGAACTGGTCTAAGACATATGACCCAGTGAGCATTGACACCTCACACTGTTGTGAATGAGCACGGACGCGAGATTTACTAGAGTATTAAATACAAAACGCAAATTCAAAATAAAACTTGACAAGACATCGTCAATCCCCTTATTCTTGGGCAGGGTCTGACTAGGGTTACCATTTAAAACAATTGAAAAGGAGGACATTTCATTTCAATTTTAGAGAAAAAGGAGGACAATGTAGATATTCTTTATCATCAATTGAGGAGGACAACGAGTTTTTATCAAACGTTTTGAAAATATATGCACTCACTCAAAATTTATTATTTTCAGTGTAGTGTAGTGTAGTCGTCATCAATTCGGTAAAAATCATCATTCTTTTAAGAGAAAACGGGACGTCATTCATTTTTGGAAATTCAAAATCAGTTTTTTCGGATAAAACCGAAATTCTGTCTATGAAAAAGTGTTCACTGTGTTCCAGTAGCCAAGTAGAATCCAATGAAAAAATTTTCGTTTACGTTATTTTGGTTTTGAACGAAAAAACTGATTTTGAATATTTGAAAATTAATGACTTTCCCTTTTGGTAATTGGCCGTTTGCCTATTGGGTTACGTAAAATTAAAAAGCAATAGTCCTTTCTAAAGGATGCAACTACCTAGCTTTCAAAATTAATTATACAGTACAGGTAAAATAAGGGTACTAATGCTGGATATTTTGTCCTTCTAAAAAACTTCTGCAACTTTTTAATATGAGTATTGAAGATTCTGAAATTCTTACTGCTGGGTGGTTAAATAATAAAAAATTAACGGAATTATTATGGGCTTAAAAAGTTGAATCAGCTTAAACTTCCAATGATTTTAGTAAAACGCATCTTATTTGGTTCATTTTTCAAATTGTTCGCTCGTCAAGCAGAATGAACTACTACTATTTTTTTTTCTAGTCGAAACATTATTTTATTCGAAAAAATCAGAATTTATGGTCAACGAATAGTATCGTTTCTGAATCCATGATGACTTTCATGTTTCAAAATTGCTTAAAATACACTACACTATGAGTATTTTGAGATCAGAGAAGACGAGACTACAAATAAAAAAAAGTATGATTGATTTGAATGATTGTGCTTCAAGAAATTACAGTTTTAAAAACGGTGTTCAAACAAGAAGCGTTTTACCGAAATAACTCATCCTTCATGCAGAGTCAATTTATCATCGCTCTAAAAATACCAGTAAATTTTGAATATTTAATCAACCAGCAGCCCAAATTTCAGCAATTTAAATGCACATACTAAAACATTACAGCTCTTTGAACTTTTTTGGAGTGCCAAACACTTTACAATTAGCCCTTTAATATGACTTAAGAGAGGAGTAGATTCAAAACAAACTGCCTTGGCAACCTCTGCCTGGTATGCAATCCAGATCTAAGATACAACTGGCTTCTTACTTTTTTATCTCTATCTCTATCTCTCTCTTACGGACTTCAAATCGGCCAATCACGAGCTGGTTCGCGTTTGACAGAAAAGTGGTTCATTTTCGTCCCCGTATTGTCTACTCTTCTCTTAGATCAAGATAGTCGCTGTTCGATTGGCTCTGGCTTTGACAGTTCCTTTTGGCTTAAAACCAGCCAGTCCGCTTCTCTCTTATACTAGACCCTTTATAATATGACCGGTTCTGTACATACTTGAAAATGAACTAGTGAACTGTTTTGCACGAAAACGTCAGTTTAATAACTTCAAAGCCTTGGATGAGGTTGCGTCAAAATAAAATGGAAAATTTATTTATTAACATTTTGCTTGAAAATATTCATGGATTAAAAAGGAGGACATTTTGAGGCAAAAGGAGGACATGTAAAAACATTCGAAAAAGGAGGACATGTCCTCCTTTAGGATACCATATGGTAACCCTAGGTCTGACGATGTGAATCTGATTTTGATCAGTGAACGGGCCCCATATGGTACATTTTCTCACCATGAACCTGTCATTTCCAGCCTATCTGAACTATTTAATAAATGGAAACCATAACATGGGTTACGCTTCCCCTAAGCGGGCCCTCCGCATCCTATCTCTGTCTTATCTCAAATGCCAATGGTTTGAATGTATCAATATATACATTGGAAATGACGTTCAATCAAATAAACCCATACCCCACTCACTTGGCCAGGCTTCAGAATCGTCCAGTGGGCAGTGCGCTCTACACTCCAAGTTCCCTTTCTTTCAAATTCACCCCAAATTTGATATTTTACCCCTTTGAGTGTTGATTAATCACAATGAAACATTGTGACAGAGCACGGACTTGAGGTTACTAGAGTATTAAATAATCTAGGTCCTATTTAGGATTATATCTGAAAAATCCAAATTTGGCCAACGCCCACCATGCATTCAGCGAAGTGTATTCGTAAGAAAATCCAGTGAAAATAGTGTTTCAATTTGGGTTGCCGAAAATAGTCTGTCATGCCGAAGCCGTCATTTCCCCTATATAATTCTGAATTTCGACAGTGAGCATTCATAAGGGCGAATACGCGATGATCGATTCTCTTCATCGATTTTCTCTTTGCATTGCTACAGCTAAGCGAAACAATTTTCAAGAATTTGTTCAATGCAGAGTAGTAACAGGTTGTATTGGCTATCAAAAGCAACAGCAAACGCTCCGAGAAACGTTAAATCTAGCGAGCTATTAACAAAAGAGAAAATCGACGAAGAGAATCGATCATCGCGTATAGGCCCTTATGCATGCTCACTGTCGATTTTATCGTGATTTGTTTCGAAAATATCTTCCAAATAAACAAACATCATCCAGATCACCCGATTCGTCCACCGACTAAATCTATTTCCACTTAAAAATTAATTTCAGTCGGTGTATTAATCAGCAGATTAAATCGTTTTTCGTCTGGTGCTACACCGAGCAATCGGCCTATTTAATAGTTTTTCGTCGATGGATTTAGTCGGCCAACTTTGTCTGCTGTTTAATCGGCAGATGATTTCAAACCTTAACATGTTTTCTGTAATTTAACTGTCTTGAAGTAGCTTTTTATTTAGGAACAATGCATTACAAAATAATTTTATGCATTTTGTACAAGGTTCATCCATGCTGACAAGAAATTTGCATGAAATTACATTGAAATTAAACAATTTTGCAAACAATCAATGAAATTGTCAAGGGCTGTCACAGACTTATCACCGTCGGTTAGTGCTTATTCCTGCCACCAGGCGCGCTGGAGTTTAAGTTGGATTTCTCAATAGTAGAATCCAAGTGAACTTTATGCGTCACTAGTAGTGGCTAGAAATAGTACTAGTCAATGGTGATAAATTTATGACAGCCGGTTCAAATTCCAGAGTTTGAATGATAAATTATTGAAAAAAAAATTCAAAATAGTGAGATACGATCATTAATATGAATGATACATGTAGGAAATTTGTCGAAGAATGTAATGTTATGTTAATTTTCATTTCAATGTCACTGAAAGATAATGAAAATGCGGTCTTTTGGTGAAGATATTTTTTAGGTTATGTTTTGTATGATTGCAGATTCTAACCCCGAATTCGACGTCCAAGTCGGATATACTGGATTATGTTGGGGACTCCGTGCTAGCTAGAGACCTAGCATATTGTCTGCCTGGGCAGCTTGCGTTTACGTAATTTAAAAATCAATTTTTTCCCTTATTGCAAGAAATTAAGAAATTATATTATTGAAGCCACTTACCAATTTGTAGAAGACCACTTTTCCTATAATTTGATAAGCTTTTTGATCACCAAAACTGACACTATGTTGTGGCATTTACATTACATTTGATGGTCCATATACAGTAGCGCCAAAAGCATACTGTGGTGAGTTCAAAACTTGATCAATTTAGATGGTCAAGTTTTGAACCCACCACAGCATGCTTTTGGACGATCAAATGTAAGATACTGTGGTAGCCACAGCATAGTTCTGTCAAAACCTCAGCATTTTCATTGATTCATTGATCAATTTTATTGTGTTTCATGTGTATTTTTCGGTGTCATAGGATAGAGACAAACCCGAAAAATGTTCGAAGGTCGAATCGAATCACCGACAAACCGACATGAATGATCATACAAATTACAAAGAAATTTCTGATCAAAGCTCAAAACTGACATCTGCCGCCGTGTTCGCGGAAAATATTTATCCTAGCCACGAACACGCCTACAGAATTTATGAGTTGTTTCGCGTCTAATCTATTTCGGACAAATTATTTTTATCTAGATAAAACATTTCTATGGTTTTGACAGATGGAATCGCTGCACATTTGAATCAATCGTTATGGATTCTCGTCAAGAGTTAAGTTTAAGTTTCATGTCGATTTGTCGGTGGTCGAATAACGAAAGGCTCATGTATGTGCACGGAAAAGCTTTCGAATAAATCAGTGCCATATTTTAGTCGATAGTTATGAGCATTTTATTGCGATTTGTAAATCCTGTATAAAATATATTCCCCAAAAAATATTAACCGCTAATGCATGATATCATATATCTCTTATAATCAACACTTACAGGGAGGTATAATAGAAGGTAGTCAATGTAATATTTTTTTTTACATTTTCTATTATATTATTAACATTGAGAAACGCTCAATGTTCTGAAGCTTTTGTAAGATTTTTCTTAACCACAATTGAATTGATTCAAAGCAAAACTGAAAAAAATCCTATACCTGCTGTACACATTTCCGAAGAATTCATTCTGTCTAACTATTCCTTTTCGTAGGTTTCTTTGTATATCACAAAATCTATCAATTTGCATCTTCGTTCCTACTAATCAATTAGTATACATTTCTAGCTAGTATGTGCTTAAATGCTAATAATTAGGTATTAGATCACCACAGGTTTGCAATCGTTATCATCCTGTATCCCAATTGAATGTTGTAAAACGAGTTTCACCTACTTTTTAGCAATCGAAAGTACGTACATATCTTTTTCAAGAAAGATTAAGGGTGCACAAAAATCAAAGCCAACGTTATTTTGAGATCCGTTTTCCGGTTCCGCTCGCCTTTCGCGTGATGACCATGACTGTTCATTACTAGGAAATGCTCACAGCGTCACAGCTAGGAACCGGTCTCAGCAGCCGCGGACAACGACCATTTCTAGGCCCACTCAGTCTGAATCATCTGACTGGAAGCAAAGTTTCTTTTTCGTTAGGAAGGAGGCATCGCTGACGGGACTAGTCGTATTATGCAGCAGTGAGTGACGCGAATGGAGGGTCGATTCTTCGGTTCGGTTGCTAGAATTGCTGTTGTCCAACGGAAGCATATCGTCGTCGACCGAATCGTAGCTGAAAGTGTTATTGTAATGCTATTGGTTGAGTTGGGAATGACATGTGTAGCTAACTTACCTAACATTCCTGGGAGGAGTGTCGACGTGATTGTTTCTGAAGCTAAGCCTCAATCCTAAATGATTGTGATTTAGCGGTGTCGAATTCATCATCCTCACCGGGGGTGTGTGCCTAGGAATATCATTGTTCAAAGTGGGAGTAATCTGTACGTCTGACCCTCCACTTCCACCCGTCAAATCCAGCTCTCCGGTGGACAGTAGATCATCATCTAGCTCATCATCGAAGTCCTTCATGAGACACGTCCGTACGCTACTATTAATTCCATTGCAAAAGCTACGGTTATTACTGTTCCTATAACTTGGTTCCCGCTTACAATCATCTGTCGGAAGGGACGGTTTGGCATGGTTCAATCGCAAACAACTGGCTATTGAGAGCACCAGGCTCGCCAAAAAACATTTTAGATTGCACAATTTCCTATGCATGTAGGATTTTAAGCCACGGATCACCCGCCACCGTCGTCTTTCATGGTGCAGTATTGATACTCCGGGCAGTCGTAGAAGTGTTTCAACAGACGGACGACAATCCGGTATGGGATTCATCATCCATCGGATCACATCCTGAAGCTCTTGAGATAACCTACATAAAAGCTCCGATGGAATGGATCCACTTCGAAGTCTCTGCCACAATGGGCCATTCGAAGGAAGCTCCAGATTGCTAGACAGTTCAAGAATTGCGATCCCCAAACTGAATATATCCACAGATTTGGTGTAACGCCCTTCCATCAATTCTGGAGCTATGTAACGGGAATCTCCTTCCGTAGCATGATTGTAATTTCGACTGCTCAAATCAAACACCAGACCAAAATCAGCCAGCTTACAGACACCATCGTCCGTAATTAGAATATTGTCTAGCTTTATATCCAGGTGAATCAGGTTCCGGTCGTGAAGACTTTTTAGCCCCTAAAATACGAATTTAACCAATGTTTTAAAACTTTGTTAATCTTTCCGAACATCCTTCCTACTCACCAGCAACAGATCCAAGAGAATGGACCAAATCTTATCCTCCGGAATGAACCGCTGCTCTCTGACATAATCTTCTAGGCTTCCTTTACACAGTTCCATCTGCATGAACAATCGATCCTCCTGCTCCCACGCCTGGTACAATTTCACACAGTTCTCATGCTCACTGAACTGTTCATACCGCCGAACTTCCTCCAGCCGTTCCTGTCGGTAGTTTTCTCCTCGAAAAAACTCCTTGGACTTCTTCACCGCATACAAACATCCATCCATCTTGCTCTTCACCTTGAATACTTCCCCGAACGAACCCTCCCCTACTTTGGCTATCTGTTCGAAGCACTGCTCGTAGTACGATTCCCTTTTACTTGGCTCATACAGCGTACTGAGCTCCGAACGATTGCTTCGAAACGAAACTGTATGAGCCACCGAGGAACCGTTCAGGCTCCGATTGAAACTTCCGTCGAACTTTGGGTACAGCTTCGGTGGTTTCGGCGGTCGCAGAGATCTATTCTTCCTATGTGGCTGTTTGAACGACAGCGACAGATTATTTTCCTCTAGGAACTCTGGTACCGGCAGTGGGGACCTCATTGTTACCGGGACTGTGCCAATAAGATTAGAATAGCGACGAGCGTTCTTTGTCATCAACCGGTCATCTACCTAACGGAACACCGATCGGAGCAAAACAAAGCACTGAGATTTACGCAAACAAGGTCTAGGTTATGTTCTACGTACCTGTTCATAGGTATGAACAAATTCAGAGCCGGAACCTAACGGAAAATTGTAGGTATATTTCTTGCTTCCTACGTTTTACGTTGCGTTCTGATCTATGTTGCTTGGATTCGCTTGTTTAAAATACAACTTCCACCAATCCTCAACACTCAATTATTTCCTGATAAAAATTAAATTTTAATCAAAAATGATTCCAGCGGTCTTTCTGTTTTCACTCTTGTTTTCGACTCGGATTTTAATTCGAACGGTTTTAAATGGATTTATGTTTGACAACCGAAGCGTTACGTAGCAGCGTTATATTGTTTAAGCGTTAGCTGGCAAAGGTATCAGCTCCCGGGAATCTATAAATTCATCCTGATTCCGTTCATATTGCCAAATCAAAGTTGGCACTCGTGGAGAATAGAAGAACTATGAAAGTGATGATGGTTTCAAAATTTTCCAAGGTGAGGTACACAGAAAAAAAGTTGTTGAATATTACATCCAAACTGCTGCAACCAGGTCAATCCATCGGTTGTGTAATATAACCATAGAGGTAACTCTAAGACCAGAAGGTCCCGAATAAACGAGCTCAACTTTTTGGCTCAGCTCTGGCACTCTCTTCGGTCCCAAGCTAATCGATTCACCCCTCGAAACATAGGAAAATCTACTAACCCCTCATTTTATCTGTCAAACTTTCATAGCGAATCAAAACAAACATAGTATAGTACTGGAATTTATACTAGAATGGGATCCGTTAGTCGATTTGCTTGGGACCAACAGGCTAGTCAAGTATAGTGAGCCAATTTAAAATCGTTAGTTTCGTATTGATTGTTGATATAACGTTGTATACGATGTACATCAATTTTGCGAACAAAATTACATCCATTGATGTAATATTGTATCTGCTTTTTGCTATTGCTGATTGCATCTGAAACTGGACTGTCCCAAAAATGCAAAAAGTGTGATAAAAGTGCACGTTTCCGTCAAATCGTTCTGATGTCTTCGGAACAATTATTGCTTGCATCATAAGGAATAAGTGCACCGAAGACATACCAAAACGATTAGACGTAAACTTGCAATTTTATCACACTTTTTAATAAGTGAAAACGCGCTTATTAGTCCAATTTGGTGTGAAATGCGCGTCATCATTACGTCATTATTTCATACATCAGCTTGAATTTCATTGATCGATATTACATTTTTTTTGCTATGTATACAAGCTCGTATACGAATGCTATCTAAAAATGCTTTTATTTTTCTAATGGAGCATTTTATTTAAATCTGGTTGCTACTACAGTGGTAGAAAAGCTGAAATTTTTGTATACACCTAAAAATCTGAAAATAAATTATGTTTTCTATATTATATGTCTATTGAGTAGTCCTTAAGTTTTCTACTAACGTAGCATTAACCGAGGGGCAACCCTAATAAAAATAACCATAAAAGAGAGCTTAACGACGTGTTCGGGGTATCATCCAAACCATTTGTGCGATAGTTTACCCATGCAGGATACAGCTCGTTTATGGTATTTGTAATATTATGCTCTCGAAAATGAATCGAAAATACGTGAATGAAAAAAATACACAAAAATTCATCATAGCTCGGAAAAAATACATAAATATTCGACGAATAATAAAAATACACGATAATTCGTCATTTGCACCAAAAATTCGAAATATGTACAATCAAAATGCTGAATTCGGACAAAATGTGTAAATTTATTATTTTATATATTAATCCGAGCTCGAATCACAAAACAATGCATTAATGAGCAGGATTTCACCCATTTTTAAGAAAAGTGCCTTAAATCGTTTATTAAATAAAAAACATTAATGAGTAGTTGTGACCCAAAAATAAGTAACGTATGTGTTCTGGCAATACTGGCCGTTGCCCTCCTCCATCGCTGCAGTGAATTTGGACGATGAGGTAGTAAGTAGTATGACAGATGAAGTGACGGATTGAAGAGAGGAGGATAGATAGATGAATAGAAGATAATCTGTCAAAGAACGGAAGGTAGAAAATCACAAACAATACAGTATCGATTAGAAAGTGCTTAAAAGTGAGTTTTTTTAGTATTCTGTGCTTTGGGCATTTTGTAGAAAGTTTGTGGACAAATTTAGGTCAGTGGAGGTTACAAAACACGGAACGGCAAGCAGACGACTCACAGATAGGTAAAACGAGATAAACACTGTAACAAATGAATTAAATTAAAACACTGAATTTTGTAATAGGCGGAAAGAACATTTCAGAGCGGTCTAGGTAGAAGAAAGGTTGTTTGCAGGAGGAACAATAACTAAAATTGTGAGTACTTCAACTAAAACCACAAACTATAAACACTAACACTATATTAAACGAATTCTTGCAGTTTGATGAACTTTATTTACGGTTGATTTACAAAAAAAACGGTTTTGTTTTTCTTTGATCCGAAAATCAAAAATTTTATTTCGAAGCACTTCGGAATGGCCTTTTTACCTTCCAAGGACGAGAAATGTTTGTTTTGCTCCATGTCAGAGTCGACGTCGGAGGACGTAGATTGGGTCCAATGCGGAAAGTGTGAAAATTGGGCTCATTTTTCTTGCGCGGGTGTTGACCAGGAGGTAGCGAAATCCAATTGGTATTGCCCACAGTGTGTCCCAACGAGTGTTCAGCAGTTGAAGATTCCAGACGCAGGAGGCAAGAAGCGAGGTAGCAAGAAGTCCGGCCAAAAGAGCGATGGAGGGTCTGATCAGGGAGCTGGTTCCGATGTTGATCCAGTTGAAAAGCAGTTGGAAGAGGAACAGTTAGCCAAGGTGAAGGCCTTTGCGAAGCAAATGGAAGTGCGGAAGAAGTTACTCGCTCGGCAGAAGGCTTGGAACGAAGAAAAGCTGAAGCAGGAACGGGAGATGCTTGAACTGGAATCCCAGGCCCGGCGAGAAATAGAGATGCAGCAGTTGGACTACGAGCAGAGAATGTTGCAGGCTCAACTGGCTGCGGAGCAGAAGTTTTTGAAGGAACGGGAGGCAATCCGGCTGCAGGTCAACAGCAGCATCAATAGAATTAAAGCGCTGAAGGATCAATATGGCGCTGTTGGTGGATCTTCGAAGGACGGTCCGGAGCAGAAAAGGCAGCCGGAGCAGAAAGGGCAGCTGGAGTTGCAGAAACAGAAGAAGATAGCCGAAAAGCCAGCGGGTACGGATTCTCGAGGAGCGTACCCGAAAAGGGAGGACCGACATGGAATGGAGTCGGGTTCTAGAAAAACCGATAAGCAGAAGAAGATGAAGGAGGTGCCTGCTAAAGATCGGGAGGCCGAATCAAGTGATGAGGGCCAAATCCGCGACTCGTCGGAAGACCGTGCGAGCAGCGACTATTCAGAAGATTGTGGAAGCAGCGACTCGTCGGAAGATCGTGCGAGCAGCAAGCGACCTGGCAGTGTGCGTGGTAACGGAGCTGGTGACGGGTCGGGGCGAACCGGCGGTCGAATCTCGAGGGATCAGCTGGCCGCTAGAAAAGCGATTTCGCATCACCTTCCAAAATTTCGTGGAGAACCGGAAGTTTGGCCGCTGTTTATTAGCAGCTTCGAATATACGACGGAAGCATGTGGGTTCTCAAACCTGGAGAACTTGAAGCGACTGCAGGACTGTTTGCAAGGTGACGCGCTCGAAGCAGTGAGGAGTCGGCTCGTTCTGCCGAATTCCGTTCCGAACGTGATTTGTGACCTACGGAATCTATTCGGAAGGCCGGAGAAGCTGCTGAAGTCGCTGCTGACGAAAGTGAGGAACGCTCCAGCGCCGAGAGCTGATCGACTGGAGATGTTTGTTAGATTTGGGATTACGGTGAAGCAGTTGTGCGACCATCTTGAGGCTGCGCGACTCAACGATCATCTTAATAACCCGATGCTGGTACAGGAGTTGGTTGACAAGTTACCACCGAGTTACAAACTGGATTGGGTGCGGTACAAGCGAGGAAAGGAAGATAGTCCGCTGAGGATGTTCACGGATTTCATGACTGAAATAGTATCCGACGTGTCCGAGGTGACGGAGTTTTCTACGCTGTCGGTGAACGAGCGAGCGTCGCATGGGCGAGAGAATCCTAGAAAGAAGGAGTTTGTGCATGTGCACGACTCTGAGCAGAAGCAGAGCGAAGAACTACGCAGAGAGGTGGTCAGCCGTCCTTGCTGGATTTGTAAACGGACGGATCACATGATCAAGAGCTGCGAAGAGTTCAAGCAGATGAACATTGCGCAACGACTAAGGGAAGTGGACAAGCAGAAACTGTGTGGAGTCTGTCTTAACAAGCACGGTGGAAATCGTTGTTTTTCGAAAATCCGGTATATGGCGCGGAACTGCCAAGGCAATCACCATCCTCTATTACATCGGGTGGAAGAATCTGTTCAATTGCAGAAAGCCAAATCAGACTGCACGGTGATTTTCCGGATGATGTCGGTGACGCTATATGTCGGTAAGCGACAGTACGACACTGTTGCATTTCTGGACGAAGGGTCGTCTGCTACGTTGGTGGACGATGGGGTGGCCAAACGGCTGAAGGCAGAAGGAACGCTTGAACCACTGATAGTCACGTGGACCGGAAACATCAACCGTTTTGAGAACGAATCGCGTAGTGTAGAGATGATGATGTCGGCGAAGGGCTCCAAGGAGAAGTTTTCGTTGTTCAACACACGAACGGTGTCCGAGTTGCAGTTGCCACAACAGAATGTACGATACGCTGAGATGGTGAACCGTTATCCGCATCTTATTGGAGTGCCGGTGAGAGATTTTCCGTCTGGACTTCCAACGATTCTAATCGGATTGGACAATCTCCATCTGTTCGCGCCGTTGGAGTCACGGGTCGGGGAACCGAACGAACCAATCGCTGTGCGGTCGAAAATCGGATGGACGATTTACGGATCGGAGAAACGGAAGCCGCGTGTCCATACTTACCTGAATCTGCATTGTGTCACACCAGTGAGTAACCAGGAACTGCATGACATGATCCGAAATCAGTACGTGCTGGGTGAAACTGCAGCAGCATCATACGCACCCCCAGAACCAATTGAGGAGAAAAGGGCTCGCGAGATCCTTCAAGCGACGACAAAAAGGGTAGGTAATCGTTTCGAAACGGGCCTATTGTGGCGTGAAGATGAACGGCGATTTCCGGACAGCTACCCGATGGCCGTTCGAAGGATGCGAGCGCTTGAGCGAAAGCTTGAGAAAGATCCTGCGTTGAAACAGAAGGTATGTCAGCAGATTGAGGACTATCAGACCAAGGGCTATGCACACAAGATAACTGCAGAAGAACTAGCAGATACTCCAAGCTCGGTGGTGTGGTATCTTCCGTTGAATGTGGTGCTAAATCCGAAGAAACCTGGTAAAGTGCGCATGGTGTGGGATGCGGCTGCATCAGTTGGAGGAGTGTCGTTGAACTCGGAATTGGTGAAAGGTCCGGACATGTTGGTTCCCCTTCCGAAAGTTGTTTGCTGTTTCCGGGAAGGTCGAATTGCATTCGGAGGCGACATTCAGGAAATGTACCACCAGATGAATATTCGGTGTGAAGACAAGCAAGCACTACGATTTCTGTTCGGGACGGATGAAAGTGGAGCACCTCAAGGATACGTGATGGACGTGGCAACGTTTGGCGCCACGTGTTCGCCTTGCTCCGCCCAATATGTAAAAAATCTGAACGCGGGACAGTTCGCAGAGCAGTATCCAGAAGCAGCGGCAGCGATCATTAAGAAACATTATGTGGACGATTACTATGACAGCGTAGATACCGTCGAAGAAGCGATACGAAGGGCCAAGGAGGTGAAGTACATCCACTCGCAGGGTGGATTCCATATACGAAACTGGGTGTCTAACTCGGAGGCATTCCTAGAGGAACTCAAAGATCGCAGTGCAAATGGAGCAGTTCATTTTTCCCGGGATAAAGACGCCGAGTATGAGCATGTGCTGGGCATAGTTTGGAAGCCGATGGAAGACGTATTCTGTTTCGCAACTATGTCGAAAGCGGAATCCTTTATGGTTATCGGTGGCGAAGAGTATCCTACGAAGCGGATTATCCTCAGTTACGTGATGGCGCAATTCGACCCAGTGGGATTCCTCACTCCGGTTACTATACTTGGAAAAATGCTGATCCAAGATCTCTGGCAGACCGGCTGTGATTGGGATACGAAAATCAATCAGATTTCCTTCGAAAAATGGCGGCGATGGATACAAATGATGAAGAACATCGGATCGTTCCAGCTACCGCGGAGTTATTTCGGAAATGCCAGATCAGATGAAGTTACGGACATACAGCTGCATGTATTCGCTGATGCAGGCGAGGCGGCGTACGGAAGCGTGGCGTATTTTCGGGCAACTGTACGAGGTAAAGTGCAGTTTGCGCTGGTCATGAGTCGTGCCAAAGTGGCACCGTTAAAACAGATCTCAATACCGCGACTGGAGCTTCTAGCGGCCGTTTTAGGAGCACGTCTATCACGAATGGTGTTCGAGAGTCATAGCTTTACAATTGACCGGGTGGTGTATCGGATCGACGCAAACGTAGTGCTCTCATGGATTCGATCTGACCAGCGAAGGTATAAACAGTTCGTCGGGTTTCGGATCGGCGAGATACTCAGCCTAACGAAGTTGACGGACTGGCGTTGGGTGCCGTCAAGACTAAACGTGGCAGACCAACTAACGAAGTGGGGCAAGGAACCCGAAATGCATACTGACAGCACGTGGGCGCGAGGACCAGCGTTTTTGTACAAGAGTGAGCAGGAGTGGCCAGAAAAGGAAATGCCACCAGCGAACACGATGGAGGAGCTCCGGATTCACCTCCTATTACATGACGTGAAGGTGCCTGCGGTTTTTGTGGACGTAAACCGTTTCTCGAAGTGGACAGTGTTGGTCCGAACGATGGCGTGCGTGTTCCGTTTCGTGTCGAACTGTAAGCGAAGGATTGAAAAGCTGCCGATTGAGACGCTAAGAGCGACAAGCGGACAAAAGAAAGCACGGAAGTCGAGAACCATTGCATCGGTCAGAGTTCCGTTGCAGCAAAAGGAGTACGAGAAAGCGGAGCAGTGTCTGCTGAAAGTGGCGCAGTCGGAGAGCTTCATCGACGAACTGAAAGTGTTAACGAGAAACAAGGATCGTCCGGTGAGCCAGTGGATGACTATCGAAAAGTCTAGTCCGCTATACAAGCTGACTCCGCTGATCGACGAGAATGGACTGATCCGGATGGAGGGTAGAGTGGAGCGAGCGGAATTTCTGCCATTCGATCTGCGATTTCCGGTGATTCTGCCGGATGACCATCGGATCACGAGGCTGATAGTTCAGCACTACCATGAGAAGAGTGCCCACGGGTACCGTCAAGCAGTGAAGAACGAGTTGCGGCAGATGTGTTACATCCCGCACATAGATGCAGTAGTCAGGAAGGTATCAGCGTCCTGCGTATGGTGCAAGGTGAATCGTTGTCGTCCTGAAGTTCCTAGGATGGCTCCGCTGCCAGTACAGCGGGTCACACCGAATCTACGTGCTTTCAGCTACGTCGGGGTCGATTATATGGGACCGTTCGATGTGACCGTAGGACGTAGATCAGAGAAGAGGTGGATTGCGCTGTTTACCTGTATGGTAACACGTGCGGTTCATTTGGAAGTGGCACATGGGCTGACCACCCAGTCGTGTTTGATGGCGATATATCGGTTTATTGGTCGCCGGGGCTGGCCGATCGAATTCTTCTCGGACAACGGGACAAACCTACGTGGAGCTAGTAAGGAAGTGGTGGAGGCTGTACAGGGCATTAGAGATGACTGTGCAGACCAAGGTTGCAAAGACTCATTTCAGCTGAAATAATGTTTTTCGGAATAATAAAACCAAAAGATGGTATGATGGCATGTTTTACTTGTAACTTACAAGAAGAGGTTACAAAGTATGCGTTGGAAACATAAAACCTGTAAATTTTGCTTTCTATGAGTCACAATCAGCGATTTGCTGATCGCTGAGTGAGTGAGTGAGTGAGTGAGTGAGTTTGTGAAAAATCGCTGATTGTGACTCTCATGAAGTGAAATAAACAGGTTTAATATGTCAAACACATTCTTTGCAACCTCTTCTTGTATCCTACCAATTCAAAATTTGATCATGGCATCTAATTATTTCATAATTAAGAAAAACATTGTTTTAGCTGAAATGAGTCTTTGCAACCTTGGTGCAGACCAGCTAACGAACGCGAGAATGAAGTGGACGTTCAATCCCCCCGCCGCACCTCACATGGGAGGCGTCTGGGAGCGCTTAGTCCGCTCAGTGAAGGAAGCGCTGACAGCGCTTGATGATGGAAGGCGACTAACGGACGAGATACTGCAGACAGCCATCGTTGAAGCGGAGGACATTATCAACTCCCGTCCGCTCACCTACGTGTCGCAGCAGTCCGACGAAGCAGAAGCGCTCACCCCGAATCATTTCTTGCGGGGAGCGTCAGTGAACCAGCCTGGTAGTATCTGTCCACCTCCCCATCCGGCAGTGGCCCTTCGGGATGCGTTTCAGCGTTCGCAGCAGTTGGCCAGCGTGATGTGGGAGCGGTGGATTAAGGAGTATGTGCCGTCGTTGAACCAAAGAACGAAGTGGTTCGGTGAGGCAAGACCGTTGCGAGCAGGAGATTTAGTTTACGTCGTGGAGGGTGCCAACCGGAAGTGCTGGATCCGCGGAATGGTGGAAGAGATCATTGTATCCGGCGACGGCAGGGTCCGTCAAGCATGGGTGCGTACCAATGCCGGAAGGTACAAACGAGCGACAGCGAAACTGGCCGTGATGGAGATAGCAGAGGGTAACCCTGAGCCGGATGTGGCTTCCCGGACAGAGTTACGGGCCGGGGAATGTTCTGGCAACACTGGCCGTTGCCCTCCTCCATCGCTGCAGTGAATTTGGACGATGAGGTAGTAAGTAGTATGACAGATGAAGTGACGGATTGAAGAGAGGAGGATAGATAGATGAATAGAAGATAATCTGTCAAAGAACGGAAGGTAGAAAATCACAAACAATACAGTATCGATTAGAAAGTGCTTAAAAGTGAGTTTTTTTAGTATTCTGTGCTTTGGGCATTTTGTAGAAAGTTTGTGGACAAATTTAGGTCAGTGGAGGTTACAAAACACGGAACGGCAAGCAGACGACTCACAGATAGGTAAAACGAGATAAACACTGTAACAAATGAATTAAATTAAAACACTGAATTTTGTAATAGGCGGAAAGAACATTTCAGAGCGGTCTAGGTAGAAGAAAGGTTGTTTGCAGGAGGAACAATAACTAAAATTGTGAGTACTTCAACTAAAACCACAAACTATAAACACTAACACTATATTAAACGAATTCTTGCAGTTTGATCAACTTTATTTACGGTTGATTTACAAAAAAAAACGGTTTTGTTTTTCTTTGATCCGAACAGTATGCGTAACAGCCGTAACAGATACTTATTAATGCATAATGAGCGATGTAAGGGCCTGTTCATGAACTGCAGAGGGGGGGGGGGAGTTGGCAATTATCCACGGCCAACAAATCGCTGTCAAACTAATTTCGACAGATCTAATTTCATATATTTAATAAATATAGAGTAAAATAATATACAACTTATTAGTGTGCGTGCGTTAAACGGGGCAGAAATTTGTTATGTATTTTCTCAGATTTTCACTAGACGCTCTCACATATCGCACCAAATTCCACACCTTTTAATATTGACGAATTTCCATGTGACCACACATAAACAGAGTCTATTCGACCACACATAATCAGATGTCTATTTACCTCAGTGTACTGTCATGATTGCTCGAGTGATTGCTTGAGTTTTGTCAAAAAACGTAAATATTTACACTGTGTGCAACGATGAATTGAGAAATTCCCGGAAGCGGATACCCATCTCATCGCATCAAAATAATGTTGTAACTTTATTAATGGAAGGTCCCATCCGTCTTGACAACCAACTTCATCGTGAATCCATCAAAAGTTTTCCTGGAAAAAATCGCACTAGTGCAGTTTTTTTTCACATCAAATTTATTTTGTTTTATTAGCCCGTTTCTTATCAAAGTTCTTACTCCCGTTCAGTGTTTTATTGCGTTCTAGCCGTATACGCAGTCTTGAGAGGTTTGATTCTGTACCGCGCACTTCGATAGTCATGTAATTTTCCCACCTACCATTTGCTGGACTGCCAAGCTGAGCTGCTGCTGCTTCATTATCAGAAAAGTAGTGTTGTACAACATAGGTATACCTAATCATCCACTTGACGCAAAGCAGGAAGAGAGGCGTGCGCTGCCGTTGCTACTACAATGATAATGGATGCACTCAGGCATTACGGGCTGAGTCAGCGTACGGAACTTTCGCCAGCGATAAATTTGCCCCTACGGAACACCAGGAGGATTAAGGTACCCGTTTGTTGTTTTCTCGCAGCGCGCTACCATTGATTTGATTCTTTCGTGTTTCAGTTCACCTGCTTTGATGTATCGGAAAAGTATCTCATCTTCGGTGCCAACTCCGGAAGCTTGTATGTATACGACCGGGCGAGTGTGAACTTTCTGAGTATCATTCCCAGCCAGCTCGGTACGATTAGTCAGGTGTTGATTTCGAGCAATGGCAAGCAAATTGCGGTGGCAAACATGCGCGGGGCGATCGGTGTAGTGCTGGATCTAGATAGTTCGGCCTCGAAGGAAGTGCTACTGACGGAGTTGAACGATGGAACTGCCGGTGGTGGTGGAGCCAGTCGGCCTGGGGCCTTCGTTACCAGCTTCTGCTGGGGAGAGGACGATAAGGATCTGTACTGTGGTGATTCGAGGGGAACGGTATCGCTACTGCAGTTGTCCATGTTTATGGTGAGTGATGGGTTTTTAGGCAGGAAATGCTTTATTGATCATTCTGATTCTAGGGAAGAAATATTCTCAATATTACACTGAGTCCAGTGCTGCTTTTGGAGAATCAAATTGTACAGATTGATCGCTACAAGGAACTGCTGCTAGTTTCAACTTTTTCGAAATGTGTACTATGTAATACCACGCGAGAAGAGTTCAAGCAGGTATGTATGGATATATTTTTTGAAAAGACGATGGTCCTGACCTCCAGGTTTGTTTCAGATTGGTAACCGACCTCGTGATGGTTTGTACGGTGCAGCATTCATAGTTCCAAATGACGAATATTTCGATTCGCCAGTCGATGAAGGAACGGAGGAAGTTCAAACGGAAGGCGATGATGACAATGACAACGAACAACGACCATCACCTTCGGCGAAGAGTACTCCTCAGGAAGATGTGCGAATATTCTGCTCCCGACCGGGTTCACGTTTGTGGGAAGCAGATCTCGATGGAAATGTATTGCGAACGCATCAATTCAAGCAGAAATCTGCCGATCGCGATGATGCGGATGGTCGCAATGAGATTATTGCTTTCAAGATTCTGCAGACGGTTTTGGGTCGGTTGATTTTGGTGCACGATGATCGGGAGATATTCCTCATAGATCCAATAGTTTCCCGGATAGTGCTGTGTATTAACAACGTAGGGGATATTTGTCGGGTGTGTGTTGTGAGGGAAGAGATTTACGTGTTCGGTAGCGATCAAAAGTTATTGAAGATTAAACTGGAAATTGAACGGAAGGAGCGAACGAAGACGAACCTTACAAAGAAGGTCAATGGCAAAAGGAGTTCTCCGTTGAAAGAAAATGGAGTGTACATTTTAGATCACCTGTTCAACAATAATGGCCCGAAGGAGCAAACGGAAAGTACGATAAAAGAGGCTTTGGCATCGGTGGTTCGTGGCAAATATGGGAGAAATATCAAGCAAATGTTCCTCGGGTATGACCAGATCGGTCCGGAAAGGCCCAAGACGCTGAACATAAGCAAAGTCTACAACAGTGAGGAGAACTATAACAATATTGCACGAGTATTACCCACCGATGATGCTAGTCCTGCCGAAGAGGACTGCAACGAAGATGTTGTCCCGAAGAGGAACCCACCAAAGAAAATGTTTTCGATGTCGCTTCTCAGTGACTATCAGCTCAGTGAGGACGATAAAACCGTTCGTAATTTGTACTTAGTCTACCGTTCATCTATCATTAGTAATCTAAGCTTCGCTGATCGCTATGCCAAGATATTCGATACTTACGATACGCATACCATTGTTAGCTTACTGCACAAACTGGAAACCGTCATGGACGAGAACAATGAGGAACACCCGAGGCTCAAATGTATGCGAATATATTTTGATTATCTAAAAGTAGAGTTGATTTGGGAAATCGACGCCGAATCACGAGTTTTTATCAAACAAAGCTTCATAGAGTATAACAAGATGCTTCTGCACGAGGAACTAAGCGACCTGGAAAAGTGTGAATCATGCGGACACTATCTGAGGACCAATTCCAACTGCCACTACCCGGAGATCGGGATCACACTTATACAGTACTATTGGTCCCGAAAGGACTACGCCCAGTGTTTCGAGCTTGTACAGCAAATCCCCTACCTATGGCACACGATAACCAAGTTCTACATCCAAGATCACCGAGATGATAAAGTAATTCAATGTATATGGAACCTGGGAGACCATAGCTTGCTGGAACGTGCCGCCGGCGAAATGTTCTCCCTGGATCTTTGGCGTCAGCTGTTAGATCTAATGCTGACGTGTTACAATAGCAATAGTTTAATGTGCTTGAACTGTGATAAACTTTGCACGCTTACAGAAACTAGCCGTAATCCGATGTGGGAGCAGCAACCACAGGCTCATTCGCCGACAGAAAGCCGCAACGACAATAACCATTGTAGTAATCGTAACAACAACTGCACGACTAGAAATAATCACAGTAGTAGTAAAGTTAGCCAATTCTACAGCTGGAACTATATTTTAAATACGGCTATCGACAACGGTAGTGTCGATGGGAACGCACTGCTAAAACTCCTACGAGGCTATGACGAGTACATTCCAAAGGGTGCAATCAGCACAAGCTTCTATCTGAAATGCCTGCTGAATGTATCGGACTAAATTTCATTTACTTACAACGTCTATCTATGTACAACAAAGCGCATTATCGAGCATATCGCTGCAGCAGGCCTAATGGTTTAAGTAAAACAATCAAAGTAATTCTGGTTCTGCCAAACAAACATGTACAAAACACAATCAGTTCAACGGAATCTATCAATCAATGCTACGTGTTTTTTTTTTTTTAATTTGACAGATTTTCTTTGTTTTAAGCTACTTTTCCTCCGTTTACGAGAGAAGGGGTAACGCAGGCGTTGCCCTCGCGGTACGTTTATACACACACACATACAAAGTAATCCACAAATTCGCCAGATCAAGGAATAGCGTTAGAACCAGCTTTCAATGTTAATTAGGGATACAAAACTGTAAGGCTTTCGCAAAGTCTTTAGCAATAATCTATCATAACTCAAATACAGAATTGCATTGTTCGTACCTATTATATTACATACAAAAGTATCACTTATTTTCTTGGAAATAAACATGCTTGCGTATATTTAGTTCAAGCTTAACAGTTATGACTAGGTTGAAGACAATCAGTGACCTGCCTTTGCCGGCATAGTGTCATCCTCCCACGGCCGAGGCCCCCGAATGTTGTCCCAACTGTCGATATCGATATTCTTGACTTTCTCAAACTCGGTTTCCAGAGTTACCTCTTCCGGTTTCTTCATCAACAGCCCGTGCTTCTCGGCTTCCTCGACCGTCAGTGTACCCTTCTTGGAGAATGTGTACCTTAAGAAAAGCAATCATTTTTAATCGGGTCTGCATGGTTTTGTTTACAAACTGCTCCTTGGTGATACAGGAATAAGGATTTGATATGGATGATGTAACAGGTTGAAAATTGATAGTTTTACAACCAACCACATATGGACGTACCTCAACTGAGCAAATTGCTTTAAACCGAAGGATCCTCCGACCATCAGAAGCAGGAACGGGACACCGAATCGGAAGAACTTTCGTTTGGAGTAATATTGAAATTTGCTTTGAAAACTGTTCATTTTGCTTGCCGGTGTTCGCTCTAATACTAGGTTGTAAGCTGTAAATTGAAGACATTTGACATGGGTAATCTTTGACAAAATATGGAAATAATTAGATACCTGCTAAATCTACGAAAACGCAGTTGTTTTTCACAATGACTTAGTTTTATCTCCGCAAACTAGAAAACCGAAAAATATTGCGGACTTATTTTGCATCTGCATGCGACTTAAAAGGGAATGAAAAGAGAATAATGAACTGTCAGAAGTCAATCAATCAACCAGGGCCGACGGTAGGAGAAAACAATCATCAGCCAAGATAAATAAAGCTGAAGGAACGATTAGCGATTGCTAAACTGTGAGTGACTTGTTTTTACACACGGTGTTTCGTGAAAACCCATTTATGGGTAAAAAAATACCCATTTTCAAACCATGTATGCAGCTGTCAAAAAATGGGGGAATTTGGAAATCATAAAATGGATGAAAAAATACCCATTTAAAGAATCAGTTCACGATTGCATAATGGGTATATTTTACCCACTGATGGGTGAACAAACACTTGGAAATGTTATCGTCTCATTCCGTCATCGACCATTGGGAATGCAAACAGTTTCCGTCCGCTTTTTTTTAGCAAAAATGGACGATCTCCGTAAAAGGTTAGATTCCGAAATATTGGAGAGACTTACGGATAAGTCTATACAGTGTTATCCAATATGATATTATAATATCTCGTGTAATATTTTTTTCGCTACACCTGCATTTATTTTCAATGTAAATATTAGAAAGTTTTTTTTTTATATCAACGAGGACAAATAATAACCCAGCAGCCTCGCCAGCAGCAGCATCCTCCATTTGAAGAAATGGATATTTTTTTACTTATTTTACGAAAAACACAATTTAAGAAGATGGGTAAAAAAACACCCATTTATTGACAGTTACCCCATTTACCCATTAATGAGTAAACCATAGTTTACCCATTAAATGAGGAGGGGCACTTTTAGCGGAAATCGAGGGGGACGACTCTATCTACGATCCAGAAAAGATTGTGTTTTTCTGTGGCTAGCTGCGCGCACGCTGAGTAGATAGAAAGAAGATTGATGACGATTCTGAAGATTTCCTGCGAAAAGATGATGCGCGATGCAAGTAGATGCGACAAATGAAAGAAGATTTTTCGAAGATTGTTTCGCTAGTGTGAGATTTGTTGAGCACTGTTTTAACTTGAGATTTAGATGTGTCGCCCCCTTCGGCGGAAATGGGTGTTTTTATACCCATTAATGGGTTTTCGCGAAACACCGTGCAGGAAAATTTTCCACTATGACGTTTTTTTTCCTGATGAAAACATTTTGCGTATACGTATACGTGACGTAGTGTGCGTACGATAAACTTCAGCAATCTCTAGATAGACCTACACGCTATTTCAAAACTACCCAAATTTGGGTAGAATCCACGCTGATCGGTCAAAACTGAACCTACCCAAAAATGGGTAAACTATGTTGGGAGTGGCAAATGAACAAAGTCGATCGGATTCATGTCCTTATTGTCCATTTGTCAACCTGTCACAGTTTCCAAATCCCAAAGGGGGAGGCTAAAAGTGTGATATAATTAATGGACGATCCCTAAGCACCTATAGATGCGAGAAATTGAAATAATTAACAACGCCATTGACGTCAACTTTAATTCCGGCATAACTGCCAGCCAGATTGATACGATCCCTCTGTCCTTTTTATTCCATGATTGCTACTGTCAAATCGACCAATCAGAAACTGGCTCGGATTTGACAGCAAATTGGCTCGAAATCGCTACTCGATTGTAAAGTCCCGTCCAAGGATTTTATCATCCTTATCGATATACTGGCAGCAATGACTTGAAAAAAAAATACATGATGAGTGACCGACGAGTGACGGTTATGGTTGCCAAAACTACAGATAAACTGTGTTTCTACAGTAAAAATAATATCGGTATTTTTTAGAGATGAAAATCGTTACTTTTTCCTATAAATAAGCTATTTTTACTATAAATTAGGTCAATTTTCATATAAATTATCGGTAATCCATGATTACCGATAATTTAGGTATGTGCATTTTCTTCGATTATCTGTAATTTTTACCATATCTAGGTATTCTTTACCGACTTTAAGGTATGTGCCACTTAGCGTGTACTTAAGGTTCTACAAAGGGTAAGTAAATTTGTGTTCGTCTTCTTTTTGAAATATTCTTCAATCATCATCATTGGTTTACACATACATTCACATAATATTAATACAAAAATTTAACACTTGTATTTCATGATTTTAGAACGAAAACTTCTTGGGTAAAACATATTCACTGTATTTATTTACTTGTGTTCTTCGAAGCATAGCACAATAACACACCATTGAATACACAAAACCTAAAACAACTGCTTCTCAAAACTCTTGGTGAACAAAATTGAACACCAAGAAAACCACTTCAACTTTACTGCTTTGCCAGCAATCGTAAAACTATCATTGAAAAAGCGTTGCCAGATGCATTACCTCTAGCAATGCATTTAAGTATATTAAAACAAGCAATTGAGAAGTTTGACTCATTAATATAGATGAGTGGATGTATTGCTGATTGCATCTGAAACTGCGGACTGTCCCAAAAATGCAAAAAGTGTGATAAAAGTGCACGTTTCCGTCAAATTGTTTTGATGTCTTCGGAGCACTTATTATTGCTTGCATCATAAGGAATAAGTGCACCGAAGACACCAAGACGATAAGACGTAAACTTGCAATTTTATCACACTTTTTAATAAGTGAAAATGCGCTTATTAGTCCAATTTGGTGTGAAATACGCAATATTTTATAATGAATAAATATCAGAAACTGAGTAAATAAAACAAAAACGACCATTCTAGGCATTTTACCGGTCCAATTTAAAAAGCCACAGAAGATTGAATTCAACACTAACAGGGTTGATGGCAGCAGTGTACGTAGCCTGGTATTCACTTTCCCGCTCAGGGATGTAAACAAACTTGCATACAGCGGAGTCTGTCAGTGTGAATATTTTATCTGCTCACACTTAATCTAGCTCGGTAAAATCTCCAACAGCCGATTACCTCGGCATTTGCTTTTGCTGATATATCCACAAAATATCTGTTTGTTAGCTGATATCTCAGCAAAATGATATTTGTTAGCTGAATCTCGGCAATTGTTTTACTGAACCTCAGCTAAATAAATTGCAGAACTACTCGGCTGTTGGAATCTCGGCGAAAAAAATTAAGTGTGTACATTCTTATCCACTAGATAGTGTGACATCACATTTGCTGTTGTATTGAAATGAAGGAAGAAGAGAGATGGAAATCGGACAGTCTTGATTGGGATTTAATCCGAGGATAATACCGGTTGGAGATTACCACCATTAAAATCTAAATAGTATAAAAGATACGCTAAATCGCAACTCTCCTGACTGACGCATAGCTTGGTATAAAGAGAGAGAATGCAAACTTTGTATAAAAAATGGTTTATTCATTGAATAGTATAAAGTTGCTGTATTCATACAATGCATAAAGTTTGTTTATTCGTCAGGATGTGTTTATGATTGCTTTTTCTATCATGGTTTGTTATTAAAAAAAAAAGTAAACAATATTTTAATTGACGTAATTTGAAATAAAAGCACCACAAACTATAAATGAAAATAATAATCACGACACGCTGAGGGAGATAACATTACTTTCCACGACATCCAGCATATCAATCGATTACATCTTTCGGATTATCCACGGATGAGTTACGAAGCTGTAAGACCAACCGGGCTAAGGTCAATCGCTTTTCCGGACAACTCCGCCAGGAAGACCTTCTCGACGTACGTTCCAATCTGGATTCGATTACACCTGGTACAGCGGATGCATCGGGTCATGATCGTCTTAACCGATTTCCTCGTCTTTGACGGCACGTTTTGCACTGTGGTTGATATCGGTGAACCGATTACAACTCCTTTCCGAGATGATATTGATTCGCCATTCCTTAATGACCGGCATACTATAGCGCATGCAGCGGACTTCGGAGATTTTTCCACCTCCACCAAGCACATATGCGACAATTTCCGTCCATATGGTCTGGTGCACATTATAGCAGTAGCGAGGAATCCGGTCGTAACCTCCTTTGCGATCAATGATGATTATTACATTACCTGTTAATTGAAAGTGATTTTTTGTATTATATTAGTCCATATTATGCCACTAATCTACCGATGGAACCAAACGACTGATATTGACTAAAAAAATAAAAACGGAAAGATAATAACATGACGAGCGCCATTGCACTCAAAAATATTACAAAACCTATATTGTTTAAATTTTATGCATTTTATTATTAATCAAAATTTATACATTGGTCCGATTAATATTTTCTTCAAAACTATACTAAGTCCGATTATCGGAGTGGTATTCGATCAGTGTATACTAAAACGATCAAAAATGACAATGTCAAACACGATGGCACTCGTAGTCGTTTTTCAGTTCACGTTGAAGGTGATAACGTTCTCAAATGGTTCTGCAAACATCGTCCGCTCATTGATCGAAAGAAGCATATAAGCCTGCCGGAAGTGGAATCAGAGCCTGCCATCAATGGCAACCCTGTATCGATTAGCCAATAAACTGCTGATGCACAGTAATTTCTTCTATCTGTTCGACTTAACGGCCAAAGCGTTGAATATAACAATTCCGGAGGACCCAAGTTTTAGCCGCTTATCAAAGATCAAAACGTCGGGTAATGATAAACCTGGGTTTCGATAATGATAATTTTATGGTACTGCTCTTGCTTTAATTAAAAATTTAATTTTTATTTGAAAACAATTATATTAAGCATTAAACGAAAAAGAAGCAGAAAATACATTCCCTCGAATAAACCGTATGTATGCATTGCAAGCATATTTCGATTTTATACTATGGCAGGTATTAATCATTTTTATACTAAGTCTGCATTCTCTCCCTTTATACCGACCTTTGCGCCGGCACGGAGAGTTGCGATTTAGCGTAACTTTTATACTATTTAGCTTACAATATTTTTTGAGTGTGCAATATTTACGTTAATATCTACCCTAATAAACGTGTACCATATACTGACGATATCTTAGATGGTGCGACCATACCACATAAAATTGGGATGATATATCGAATTGGTGGTTAGGCGCATCTTATGGTTATTGTTTATGCGGGTATACACTGAACGAATTCTACGCCTTTTATTCCGACTTAGTATAATTTTGAAATTAAATTTTAATCAAACCAAATTGGTATAATGTATAAATATTGACATTAAATATTAATCATTCATTGTTTAGTAATATTTTTGAGTGTATACACGACTTAACATCTCAACACAGATATCATCACAGATTATCTGGACAAAAAATAAGATGAAAACATTTTGGGGAATAACAATAAATACACATATTACCTTTTGGCAACCCTGGTGACGGCCAAGAGTTGGTGTGCGCGTTCCGTATTTTAGTCGCGAGTGACGGAGTACGTGCAAAATGTAGAACATTCGGATCGTTCCAGATTCTTTCGATAAAATGTAAAAATCCGTTTAAAAATTTACCGAAAATAGTTGCACCAAACGTCTGACGTGTTAATCTCGTGGAGTTCATTTAAAACCGTGCCGATCTGTTGCGGAAAATGTGTGCAAAAAGTGTCTGGCCACTTTAGGAAAGTCAGACTTTTCTTTTACGGCTGCTGAAGATTACACACACACACATTCGTTTATGGTTTGCACTTGCAGTGGGAGACGGGAGTAAAAAGTGAGTGTTTTTGATTTTTCTCAACCGCGGGAATCGAGTTCACTGGTGTGGTGAGTGAAAAGTGAGACGCCGCGCTGCAGCAGTAGTATTTGTGAAGCATCAGTGTTTGTTTTCCTTTTGCGGTCACGCAGTGTTCTCAGGACGGAAAAGGCGTCGCAAACAGCAATCAAAATTCTGCGATGTAACCAAAACCGTATCCGTAATGCTTTTGTTTGGCTTATCAGTTGAGTGCTAAGTTTTTCAAAAAAATATATATATTATCAAAGAACAGGCAGTTAACATCGTGCTGTGGTTAATGACATTTTTATCATTCTTGTTTATACTTGCACTGCCAACGCTGTTTACAATCGAGGGGTCATACAGTAGCTCAAAACTGTCAGAGAGATTGCATTAAGCTGAACACACACTCATATGAATTTTGAAGCGAGTCTTGCAAAAAAAAAAGTTAGAAAATTTTGACTGCCAGTTGCAGCGATTGTTGGATCAAACATAATTTTCAGTGAAAACTCCGCATATTTTAGTTATTTCAACCTACATTCGACCGTAATTCGAGAACCGAAACAGTGAATTCCAAGCTTCCAGAAGCAAACTATATGAATACGCACACCATAGCAAGTTCATGCATAATCATAATAAGCTCATCTTGTGCACCGTCGTTTACTGGGTACGCAACAGCACAAGAGGAGAAGTGCAATACGTGAAGGAGATTGAAGCGTATATTGTCAAAACTGAAGAGACAACTCGTGATTCTTACAATCGGAGCAAAACAGACGGTCGAAAAGATTAGCTTACATCTTGAATTTGTTTCGAAGATGAGTGTGCACTTCACAGTGTCATCGTGGAAACTTTCGTAAAGAAGAAATTGAGTGAAAAGCAGCAGCATTTATTTCCGGTCATCGACATACTTTCAGTCACCAACGCCTAGCGCACAGCAGCAGGTAAGACTTTTCTTCACTGAGCTCCCTTCTGATATACACATTCATATAGTTATAAAACACCGTCTTCTGCAGCTCAAGCAACAACACCGCCTTATCGATTTATGTTAGACATCTTTTTGTGTACCCCTTTTCTACTATCTTTGGAGTGTCTACTGGTGCGGTTTTTTTTTTTCCTCTGAGGCTCTTCCGTTTTGGAAGATGGCAACCTGCTGGTAGTTGTCGCATCAGCATTTGTCTCGAGCAGGTTTTGCTAGCTGCACCAGTTTCAAGGTAAATCCACAAGCAAGGGGCCGATAATTTGCCTTCAATAAGTTTTTTTTCGGCGTTGTTTGTTGTCGTCGTTGTACAGTAGTTGTATTATTGATGCAGTAGGTTTTGTTGTTGTTGTTGTTTTGCGTGATGCGAATTTTGCTGTCTTGTTATTTGCATATTACCTCAACTGAGGCTAATGCCACATAACATATCTTCACTCAAACCCCATGAGTACTGGAAGGTTACGGCGCGGTTTTGTTTTTGTTACCACTGGAAGAGGAGCAGCAGCTTGGGTGGTGTGTATCAATGCCAAGGATTTCCTCTTTTGAATAACATGTAGTAAAATTACTCAGCGTGATAAGTCACTGTATGTTGCTTACATCCAGTAGGTGTTTATGAGCTTAGTGAGCAACTAGTCTGGAGTGTTTTTTTTTATAATTAGGTCGCATGCAACATTCATGCAGATACGAGAGAAAATGTTGTTTATTATGGTAAACGAAAATTTAAATCTTTTTTCAGTAAGTAAGATAGACAATTATTTTAAAATAACGCTAGTTTATCTTATCACAACATTCAGGAGTGCTTTTTTACCTTTTTGTAAAATAAATATAGACCTTATGTTCCCTCCCGCTAGACATGAGCATTGACGTTATTTAAGGGAAGAATTATGGGTCTTATAATATTTTCATTAATATTATAATCTTCCTTAGTGGAAAATATCACCTATATGAGGGAAATGAACTCGCCCGTTGCTGAAATTCCATAAATAAATTAAAAAAATAATCACATATATGACTCTTCAGTAAGCATCAAACGATTAATTCTTGGTTTTTAATAAAACTTCCTTGATTAAATCGGTTGATTCATGCAGACTGAGCAATTTTGATATCCAGGGTGGCCAGCGAACCGGGAAAATCTTGAAAACGGGGCAATAACCGAGAATTTGAATGTAATTTTTATTTTTTATGGATGAACAAGTTCATTATAAAGTTTATGAAAATTTAGCTTTAAGAATTCGTTATAATTTCTGAGCCATGCAGTTTTAATTTCATCAACTTATGTGTTACTTTTACAATTTCAAATCAAAATTTGATTTTTTTTTATAGAAACACAGATTAATTTCGGGTGACTCTAAAGTCATGTGTCAAAATTAGTTCCGACTGACTGCAGGGGAGATTCTTCCGGTTTAATAACCTCCAGAGCAATATGTGTTACACGGCTCTTTATTGGGAGATTTTTTAAATCCTGTTTGGTTGGATGTATATATAGAATAACAAGATTGTTAGCATAGTGTATAACATAATTGGTAGCGGAATATGCTGTAATAAGTTCCTTTAGGATTTCGAAGCTTGTATATAATTCACTTGTTCTTACCGAGTTCGCTTTAGTTTTAGGAATGTAGGTTAGGTGTAGCTCGAAGAAATTGTTGATAGTAGATTTTAGCACTATTTAGGATATATCATTTAGTTCTTTTGTAAATAATTATTCAATTTAAATTACCTGAATTCAATAGTAGATAGTTTAGATTTAGGTATAGAATTAAGGATAGATTTAATCACTAACTTTGAGAACGGTTATAATCGCGTGTGTAACCACTTGGATCTTGTTGTTTTTATCTTCTTCCTACATACGCTATGTACTCACGATCGTTGACGGACAGCTCCGCTGTCACCTTGCATCAGTGCCGCCGGCACGGTGGGGGCAGGGCGCGTGCTATCCGCTGGGACAGCCAACACTCCCCTCAGGTACGCCAGCGTTCAGACTGGCTTAGCTCCATCGCGCCCAACGTCTAGAACTGCCAATTTCGTGGCCGCTCGAACGTAGACGCCGGTGGCGGTCCTTACGGTGGCAGAGCGGACTTCGACGTCCTTCCCTGGATGTAGCTTAGGGTCGGCAACCACAATCACGTCGCCTACCGTTATTGGGTCGGTTCGGTTGAACCATTTGGATCGCTTGGTGATTTCTGGCACGTAATCGCTTAACCAACGCCGCCAGAACTGATTGGCCAGTACTTGCGACACTAAGATATTGGTTGAAGATCAGCCATGATCGGCGGTTTCGGTGAAGCGTGATCGTTTTTGCATCGTTGGCAGTTCTTCCTAACTTTGGCGTATGGTGCACGGATGCGCGGAATGTTGAACCTTTGCCAAACTTCGTTGATTACTGACTCATGATTTTGGTGGTGGAATAGTTGATGGTAGTGTGCAATCAGTAGGTTGGTAGTGGGGTGATCACGTGGAAGAATTATTGGTTTCTTTGCGTCTTTTGTTGCGTAGTGACAGGCTCCAATCCTTGTTCGCATCCGCATGATACCTCTGCTATCTAACCAAGGCATTAGCTGGAACAGGCTACTCTGCTTCGGCACTATGCTCGATCTGATGCACTTTTTCTGTGCTTTATTTAGATATGCGGACTCTTCCGGGTTCCGGATAACCCTCGCGTTGAGCAGATCGTAGAAGAAAGGCTTCAGCTGATATCAGTTCTTCTGTAGTTGGTGATCCAGTGATAGTTGTTTCGTTGCAGAGTTTTTTGCGGCAGTTGACAGGAAAGCGGAGGACAAGGACAGCTACTTTAAGTAGACACTTCCAGCTAGAGAAGTTTTTGGTATCTATTGTAGGTTCACATGAAGTGTGACACGCCATCAGGTTAGGACGAAGTTCTTCTTCTGTTGCTCTGCTCTTCGTTAGCTGTGGAGGCCAATCCGATTCCAGCCGCTGTAGGAAGTCTGGGCCTACAAACCATCTGCTTTCGGGTGTAAGATCGGGTTTGGAGCTCCATTTGGTACCGTCATCTGCAACGTTTATCTTAGATGGCACCCAGCGCCACTCGTTTACCTCGGTAAGATCCAAAATCTCACTTACACGGAACGCTACGTATTGTGTGTACCGTCGATGGTCTGAGTTTAGCCAACACAGTACGTCCCGAGAGTCTGTCCAGTAGTACTTCCTGGCTACATCAATGGACAGGGCATCCGTTATCGTCCTCGACAGCCTGGCGCCAACGACTGCAGCCTGTAATTCTAAACGTGGAATCGATACAAATTTTAGAGGTGCTACCCTGGTCTTCGCGGCGACTATTGAGCATTCGACGGAGTTGTTTTTGATTAATCGCAAAAATGCGACAGCAGCGATACCGTTTTCGCTAGCATCAACAAATACGTGGAGCTCTACTTCCTCAGCTGAGTCGTAGGATAGTGATCGGTAGCAACGGGAAACTCTGACTTGTTCGACCTGAGGCAATACCTTCAACCACTGTTGCCACTTCGTAAACGCATCGTCAGTTATTTCTTCATCCCACTGCACCCCTGAGCGCCATACTTCTTGTAAGAGGATCTTCAGGAACATAAAGAAATGACTGATCAGCCCGAGAGGGTCGAACATCGACATTAGCACCCGTAGAACAACTCGTTTAGTTGGGCGAATTTGACCCAGCAGAAGGGCGCAATCGTAGCGGTTCCACCCGACCTTGTAGGTGAAGGTGTCAGATGCGGTGCACCACCACATGCCCAGAACCTTCTCCGTGCTGATTTCTGGCGTAAGGTTCAAATCTTTTTCACCCGTTCTTTCTTCCCTGAGGGCTCTTAAGACTGCCGGCGAATTACTAATCCAATTACGGATCTCAAAACAGCCTTGCTGGTGTACCTGCTTCACTTCCCTTGCGATTCGTATGGCCTCCTCCTCGGTTTCCAGGCTAACGAGCATATCATCCACGTAGTGCCGTTTCTGGATAATTTCGGCTGCTCTTGGGTACTCACCTGCATGCCGCTCCGCATTTATGTTTTTGACATATTGCGCGCAGCTGGGTGAGCAGCAGGCTCCGAAGGTCATGACCTGCATCACGTAAACAACGATTTCTCCCTTTTCGTTCCACCATAGAAACCGCTGGCACTGTTGATCCTTGACTAGGATTCCCTCTTGGTGAAACATTTCACGTAAGTCCCCGGTAAGACCCACTGGATACTCTCTGCAACTGCAACAGGATGAACAGTGGTGAGCAGAGTTGATTAGGGCCATTAAGCAGGGCGGAATTCAGCGAAATACCGAAGGAGCATGCTGCGTAATCCCAGACAAGTCTCACTTTTCCTGGCTTATTCGGGTTCATCACCGGAAATACCGGAAGATACCACACTCTGGGGTACCGCATACTCAGTTCACTCTCTGAGAGCTGCCTGACATAACTTTTCGAAACGTAATCCTCCATCTTTCGATTCAGTTTTTCGGCCAGTTCTGGGTCTTTGGTGAGCCGGTGTTGCAAGGATTGATGCCTTCGAAGGGCCATAGCGTAGTTGTCTGGGAGGCGAACATTGTTGTGACGCCATAGAAGCCCTGTTGTATACCGCTCACCATCGTAAGACGTTAGCTGCCTCAGAAGATCCTGTGCTCGTTGGTCTTCGGTCGAAAGAAGAAGCTTCTCCGGTTTCGTAATGCTGAGATTCTCTAGGGAGAAATGATTCTTCGTAGCCTGATGCAGCTCATCGTCTTTCGTTCGCTCACATGAGCAAACGTGGAAGATGTAGTGACCGAGATTGCCTATGTTGTCGCTTTCTACATTTCTTCCACTGCAAACCGTCCAACCCAATCGTGTTTTGACCGCAACTGGATCCCCGACGTCTCCTTCTCTACTTTTCAACACCAAGCTGACTTGAACGTGTTTCGTACCGATGAGGATTCTTGGCCGTGCATCGTCGATGGGAAAGCCTTGGAGATAGGAATATCGTTGTCTCAAGTCATCTGCGTTTAGCGTCTGAT